CCTCAAATAGACTTGTGGAACTCCGAAACCGAATCAGAAAGAAAAATAGGGCCTGCATTATTGCTCGAGTGTCCTGATCATAATCACGTAATCTCTTCCATCAAATTTGCAAGCTACGGAACACCACTAGGTACATGCGGAAACTTCTACCACGGACGTTGCAGCAGCAATAAGGCACTGTCAATTGTACAAAAGGTGTTTATCCTATATTCCTCTTCCCATGCTATTTTAGACCAAGGTTGTTGTTCTAACATACTGTCAAATGATGTTTTAACAGGCTTGCATTGGATCAAGAAGTTGTAGTGTTGGAGTCTCGACCGATACATTCGGAGACCCTTGTAGAGGATTGACAAAGAGTTTAGCTGTTGAAGCTACTTGTGCATAGAGATGCATACATTTTGCTCTAAGAGCATGCTCTCCACATTGTCTTCAACTTTTGGTTCAAATTAGAATTGTATTACGGAGCATTTCAAAAATATTTGTCAATTAGAATAATAGTTTAGTATCACTTGTAATAAAAGAAACAAAAGTGTGGTCCATATGGTGATGCAAGATACGTGATAAAATGGTGTTTTGTTACTGTTGTTGTAGTGAAAAGGATGGTGACGGTGCTATACTTGTAATACAAGTTGCATTCAATGTGAGGAAATGGAACAGTGAAAAGTTGAAAAATTGGACTTATGGAGTTTGAAATAAAGTTAAATTAGTTTGAAAACTATGTATTTGAAATTTTCAATCTTTAATGTCCAACTTACATCTAATAATTGGTGAGCTTTTAGAGAAGCTCAGCCTGCCACTATTAGTATTAGCGGGATATTCGTGACTTCACACGAATATTTGTCGGTGTTCTGGATTTATTTACCTTTAAAATATAATTAATTTAAATAAGTAAATATAAAAATTATAATTTATATTTTAAAAAATAGAATAAATATATGTGAATACCTATTATTTATTTTTTAAACATAAAATTAAAAAAGAAGACAAAATTATTTTATCAAAAATAAATTATAATATTTAGGAAAAAAATATTGATTAGCGTGGAATATAAAAATTTATAGTCTTATAATATTCATAAATAAAAAAAAAGAACATTATATTTATAGAAAATTAAATGAATAGAAAACAAAAATTATATTAAAAATTAAAAAAAAATTGTTGATTGGATAATTTGTTTTGTTATTATTTATATACACGGATATAATTGTTTAAAAAAAGCACAAAAATTTGATATGAAAAATGTTATAAGTAGAAGAAGAAATTTAACTAGAACAACAATCTTTTTTGTGTCTTTTCTCGTGTATAAATATTATTTTTTTAAAAATAAATGCTAGAATTTTTAATTGTTTTTTCATATAAATCTTTTTGTATCAACATCATTTTTTCTCGTGAATTTGCATGGATATTGGTTTGTCAATGTTAAAATATTTTTCAGTATTTTTATAAATAATAAACTTAGTCTTGTAAAAAAAAACTATTAACATTCACTTATTAATTTAACAATATTTTAAATTAATTTATAAGAGACATATATTTTTTTCCGTATTTAAATATATAAATTAATTTATAAAAAAATATGTTTCTCATATTTGGATAAATAGTATATTTTTTTCCCGTAATTATATATATTTCTCTTATTTACATCAATAACATATAATTGTGAAAATTTTCTCATATTTTAATAGATGAATAAATATTTAATATATTATAAATATGTTCAATTGATTGAAAAATAGCAACACGTTTCCCGTATTTAAAAAATAGCAAGCTCTTTCCTATAATTAAATTAAACTAAAAATATTAATCTAAAAGTTAAATATTATCTTAAATACAAATTAACAATTATTTATTGTAATATTAATAAAATTTTGGATTTACTCGAAAACAAAGTTTTATACTAATGATTATGAATTAATTAATATGTTTAAATACAAATTTTTCAATACTAACTTGTATTTGGTAGCCCGTTTACCGATTAAATGAATTCTCTCAAATAATTGCATAAGTCGAATTCACTTATTTTTACTTTTGTGAAAAGTACTAATTTTAGGGGATTGAAAATAGATAATTGCTTAAAGATTAAAAATAGATCACTATTCTCAAATGATAAATGATCTGATCTGGACGGCCTCCTTGTTGAATCTTTCAATGTAGGCACGCAGGGGTTCATCCCTCCCTTGAATGATGGCCTTAAGGGAGGTTTCGGTCTTCGGATGACGACCGTGAAGTGTCTGGAGAAGAGTCTTCCCAGTTGCCTCCACGAGGCGATGAAGTTGTCAGGAGGTCCTTTGTACCAGGTCATTACCCCCTTCCTGAGTGTGGTCGAGAATAACCTGCACTTAATGGCGCCCAGGACGCCGCGATAGTCGAGCAGCGCATCGATGTTTTCGATGTGCTCGTCGGGGTCAGTTGTTCCATCGTATGTGCCTAGAGAGGGAGGTTTCTATAGTCCTTTTGGAAGGCGCATGACCATGGTCTTTTGGGACAACGGGTCGTGAAGCTCATCGTCGCTGCTGCTGCTGGTCCAAGACGGGGAACAGGCGTCCCGTCTGTAGATAGGACGACGGTCTTATCGGGGAGACGGGGTTCGTGCTTGGCCCTTGGATCTGGGCGGAGGAGACTGTTCAGATTCTGCCGGTGGCCTCTTATGGTCCTCTTAGGTTGTGGGGAATGCTGGTTCAGGGGAGAAATCTGGTCGCGTTTGCGGATGGTCAGGGTCCCTGGCTCTGGAGGCGTCTGACGGTTCCTCTCGCGCCAGGGAGGGGGACTCCATCGTTGCTGATGTTCTTTCCTCGATGGAAGGGATCTTGGACGACTAGACTCTTCCAATGCTCCAATCCTCGCGTTCTGGTTGAGGATTAAGAGGTTGGTTTTGTTGAGAACCTCGGGGAGGGCCGCCATGGTCGGGTCAGTGTTGGGCAAAACTGGAACTGATAGGTGTTACGGGACAAGGGGAACCTCGCCATGATCTGTACGAGTAGAGGATGGGGAAGCAGTGGCTCCGTCCCTTTGTCGGAGGACGTCGCCGCCACGAAAGGTGGTGCCCTCATCAACATCAGTCTTGTTGGCGGGGAAAAAAACAGAGTTACGAGCATCAAGATTGTTGTCACGGGCAGCCATGATCAGAAATTTGAAGGGTTATTTTAGTCTTGTGTTCTACGAAGAGAGAAAAGACGGGGATAACAAGTTCCCACAGACGTCGCCGCTGATCTTACCGGTCGATCAGAACCTGAGATGGGTCAAAGACAAGCTTCTGTGATGCTGGGTGTGAAAGAGAAGGAGAATGTGTACCTGCAAGGCACTTCGATGCAAAAGTAAGAAAATGAGCAAAAGAGTGAGCAAGTACAATATATGAGTGTTTCAGGGTGAATGTTTTTGATACCTGACCCTCTCAAGTGAGAGGGTTTTTATAATGCCTCCAACGCTTGGCCATTGATCCCTATTTTCGGAACGAGATAATCGTTTCCCGAAGAATAGGTAACTGCCAGAACTAGCTGTAGGGACGGGCAGACGTGCCTATAACTAGTTGTTGGGACGGGCAGGCGTGCCCATAACTAGTCGTTGGCACGGGCAGAGGCGTAGTTACGGACACAAGCGTCTTGGTTGTTCCTAGATGGTAGAACCGTGCGTGAGGACAAAGACTGACAGGGAGAAGTGCTGTGACAAATGGTAAATTGGTCAGCCTCCCCTGCTGGAAGAACAGAAAGGTAAACTCTTCACAAAAAAGATTGGACTTAGGCAATTGAGCCGTTCTGAAAACAGAAGTGAATTGGATCATGTCTAGCCAATGGACCAGTCCAAAACACATACCATAAATTTTATACTATTTTTATTACTTATATAAAAATATTGTCATTAATCTTTATTTTTAGCAAATTAATCATCTTTACCTAAAGATAAATGTTTCATATTTTTTAATGTATATTCTTGTGATTTTCTTAATATATTTTTTAGTTTGATAATAATGAAATAACATGGGAGCCCTTTATAGTGCTTAAAATGAGGTTGCCAACGTGGCCAACCTGTTGCAGCATTTTTCCATTTCTACTTTCTTTTTTCTCCTAATATATTAAAGGATAATAATAATAATAATAATAATAATAATAATAATAATAATAATAATAATAATAATAATAATTTAATTTAAAATTGTATTTAACCATTTTTTCTCATCTCAATTTCGTTTCTTTCTCCTAGGGTTTCTCTGTTTCCACCGTTTTCTCATCATCATTTCCCAATTTCAATTCGAATAAACCGTTTTTGATTCTATTTCCATTATCTTTGATTCGTTTCTAGGGTATAATTTCACCTTCCTTTCCGATTGAATTTTCGAATTAGGGTTCCGCGTTTTACTCCAAAGGCCATCCATTGTTGCTGGAATTTCAGGCTTTTGGAGCTTCTGCGTCAAAGGTTCTTCCATTTTTTTTTTGTCTTTTTCCACCAGAATCCGATCAGCAGAAAATAAAAATGTAATTTTTTTAATCATTTTTATTATCTTATGATATCCTCTTTCATTATCATTGACGTTTCTCTCTGATGGCGTATGAACGTATATTTTAATTTGTGCTAATTTTGTCTCTTTAAATGTTGTTATTATTCGATAATAACATGTGTGACTTTTCTGAATCTATGTATTTTTATAATTTTTTTTTCTGTTCCTGTTCATAGTAAAAGGTCAACGAATTATTGGTGGTGAGTTGTGGGCTGTGCCTGCAACCATTGTTAGAAACTGGAGTTATCACAATGCTGGGTGTCAATCATAGTTGTTTCGATTTCTCTAGCGGTTTTCTCCACCTAGCCGAATGGCATCCCTTAGAATAGCCAAGTTAAATTGGGCTTGAAGCCCTTCCTTTACTCTCATATAAGGTAGGTAATCATCAATCATACAAATTATGGTAAATCATATTGAAAAATGAAAACCCTTTTGATGGGAGATTTATTTTTTGCAGGGTCATCAGAAAAATTAGTTGTTAGGTGGATATTTGCTTTGGGCATTTGTAATGGCAGATTATAGGAGTTTTTCATTTACTAAAATGATTGGCTGCTGGAGTTGCTTCGGGTTGATAAATAAACAACCAAGACGCAGACGTATTAGGCGGAGCATAAAGAATTATCTCTCCCAGGGGCTGTTGACGGATGGAGAAACAGAGTGTGATGAGGTATCACATAGTGGTGATTATACTAGTAACAACTCGAGTGGAGATGATAGTGATGATAGTGAGGTGCAAAATTTGCCCAATCGTTCTGAGGATATTTTGAACTTTAGAGCAGAGAATGGCATGATTTGTAGACCTTTTCCTGCTAAGGAGACTTACAAGCTTGTTCGATCTGAGGTAACCGTGGAGATTTCTTCTCTGTTTTTATCGTAAAGGTTCTTTTAGTTTTTTGTGGCAATGAAAAATGTAGACTAGGTTGACTTGTGTGAATGAATGAGTGTTTTTTGAGTTCAATATCAGTGAAATCAGTACTCTTTGTGTTTTGATTACTCTAAGGTTTCCCGAGCATTAGCTGAATTGTATTAAATTTTTTTGATATATAATTTTGAAAAAAGAATTTGACAAAGGGAAGTTGGTGATAGTTCTTTGACAGCTTTTTTTTTATCAATTTTGATAACTTGACTTCATGTTAAGGTTGGTCTTTGAAATGTTTTTGGGTGATTGTTTTTTTGTAGTCATGGCTCTTTTTTATTTTCATGCTTCTTCACTTGGAAATTTCAAAAGTTTTTTTTATCATGTTTGTTAATCTTGCTGTTGAGTCGGATGGTTATTTGTATTGAGACAAAACTTCTCTATTGTATTGGATATCTTTTCTTTCATAACCTTTATTTAAATTATGCCTCTCTTTCAGGATGAAGATGGGAACAAGATGTTAAATGAATATATTCGAGAGTATAAGATTGGTTCTGGTAGCTATGCTAAAGTGGTAAGTGTTTGTGGAATTACTCTTTCCCTTTTCCCAATGAGCTTACTTTTTTGAGCCCCTTCCCTTGTATTCATTGCAGGCTCTTTATCAAAGTAGTATTGATGGACGGCATTATGCAATTAAGGTAAGGACACTTTTCGTGTTAGCACGCAAACCATTTTATGATCGGAAAGTTTATTTTAACAGAGCTGAAGTCACTGTTCCTGATAATAGGGAAGTGTGACATAGATAGGTTGTTGGACTAGCTAATGTGACTGAGCAGTTGCAAACTCTATTATATTAAGAGATTGAAACTGAAAAGAACACATAAAGTCATACACCAATCGAAGGCTTACTGTAAAATGCATGTCTGTACTCTTATCAAGATAAGAGCATTGCAGATGATTTATTAAAGTTAAATCTTTTGGACTGCAGTCCTTTCATAAGTCTCACTTACGAAAGCTTCGAGTTGCTCCATCTGAGACTGCCATGACGGATGTTCTACGTGAGGTATATTTCTTCTAGTATCTTTCTTTTGATCAACAGTTGAGGTTTCCCCCATTGCGTGGCCAAGGCATTGGCTTCTTGTTATTATCTTCAATTATGATTTATGCTACAAATGTGTTTTACGTGTGAATATACCAAATCTGGTCAGCAAGTTGCTTGTCACCTAGTGGCCACTGCTCCATTTTCTAGTTTATACCTACTAAGAGTAATATGGTAACTTAGTTTCATCTCCTAGATGTCGATTATTGTGGAATCTAGTGTCACCTGTTGTTCTTTTTATACAGTAGCATGCATATATCAGTATTAGAAAATATACATGTTGGCAATGACATCTCCTAGATGTCACTACTGTTCTTATGGAATATTTTGTCATTTGCTATTCTTATTAGAAAGTAGCATGTGTATAGGTCACTTCATGAATATATATTTTTTCCTTATGCCAGCGCATTATATTCCAATTTAGCTCTTTCCTGTTTTGTGGAATGATTCACAACTTTTGTTAATTCGATAGTTTTAGACATTGTTTAGTGTCCATGTTGTAGTTTAAAAGGAGGTGCTTGCTTTATTTTCAGGTACTTATCATGAAAATGTTGGAACATCCTAATATAGTTAATCTAATCGAGGTGATTGATGACTCAGAGTCGGATGACTTCTACATGGGTACTCATGATTAATTTCTAATTGATTTTTCTTATTGATGATTGGTTCCACTGCTGAAATTTCTACATATATGTTTGAGCCTCTTGATTGAATAAGAATCCTTTTAAGTTCTGTTATGTGCTTAATTGCTAACGTTTACTTGTACAGTACTCGAATATGTGGAAGGAAAATGGGTTTGCGAGGGTTCAGGTCGTCAATGTGCTCTAGGTGAAGAGACCGCTAGGAAATATATGCGTGATATAGTCTCGGGATTAACATATCTTCATGCTCATGTATTATCTCTCAACCGATCATTTGTGTGTTAATGTTATCCATCATTTCATTTATTTGGTGGTGGTTACACTCGTTCATGTGAAATGCAGAATATAGTGCATGGGGATATAAAACCTGATAATCTGTTGATTACCCGCCATGGGACTGTAAAGATAGGGGATTTCAGTGTCAGCCAGGCTTTTGAGGTAATACTGAACTAAATGGTCCTTTTAAGATATAAAAGATGATAAGTTTTCTCTTAGTCTATCGCATTATTTTATGTATGAAACTAGAAAGTTACAACATATGCGCTGGGTCCCACAGTGAAGTTTTTGTGTGAAATTGAAAATAATTTATTGAAAGGTATGAAAGCTGATGCCTATTTCACTTGAATCATTAATGTGCCAATTGCAAAATTTATATAAGCATCTCGTGTTGATAATTTTTAGCACACTGATATAAGAAGATATATAGTAGAACAATTTCTTCATAAAAATAAAATAAACATATAATAGAACAATGTTTCTAATTGATGACGTGTGATGTATAATCAATCACGTAGTATATATGTTGCCACGATTTATTTTATCTACATCCCTTTGCACATTCATGCACCCTGTTTACCTTTTTCTCGAGATATATTGTTGACATTTAGTGTAGTAGCCAACTAATATAGAACCCATGCTTGCATTCATTTTGCAGGACGGTAATGACGAACTTCGTCGATCACCTGGCACTCCTGTTTTCACTGCACCAGAATGTTGTTTAGGTTAGCAGATTTTTTTTTATGAAAATAGCAAGATACTTTGCTTTTGGAATTTATGAAATCAATTATTCTCATATCGGTTTTATTTGTCGATGTTGTCTAGGTCTTACTTATCACGGCAAAGCTTCGGACACGTGGGCAGTAGGAGTAACTTTGTACTGTATGATATTGGGTGAATACCCATTTCTCGGGGACACGCTTCAAGATACATATGACAGAGTAATATTTATACAAACTTCTCATCCTCTTTATATTATTTACATAAACTTAATGTTACATATTTTAAGTTTATACTAAAGAAAGCAAACGTTATGTTTTCTTATTTTTCCAGATAGTCAATAATCCCATAGAAATCCCGGACGACATAAACCCGCAGTTAAAGAACTTAATAGAAGGATTGCTTTGCAAAGGTACATGACTTTCAACTTCTGTTAACTCTTGTTAAAGGGGAATTTAACTAAATATGTCGAGTTTTGGTCGGTTTGTAAAACATGTCATGAGTGTTCTTAATTGAATGCTGTGTTCTGCAGACCCAGAACAAAGGATGACATTGACAGAAGTTGCTGAGCATGATTGGGTTATTGGAAATGCTGGGCCAATCGGTAAGTACTCATGTTGGTGCAAACGCAAGAGTCTGGTGATTGAAGACTTTGAGGAGAGCTATGTGGTTGCTTGATCCACACTCACTAAGTTATTTTAAGTTGGATTTCTCAATGTACACATGCAAAATCCATTAATCTTATTTCACTTTTTATATCCCTTTGACCCACTTTTGGTATGTTATGATTATTATAGAGTTTGGATAGAATCGTTGGAATCAAAGAAAATAAGGTTCATGCTTCTTTTACTCTTTTGTTTGTGTTGTGAATCATTTGGAAATTTGGAGAAGTGTTTTTTGGGTGAACTCATTATTACATAAAGTAGAGTTATTCTTGTCTTCTTCTAGCATATAATGAGCTCTTTCTCAAGCATGTGCTGAGTTGTGTTCAGTTTATACTTTTATATATTATATTCATCACCATGGAGTGTTTCTATTGTATGCTTTTTGAGTTTTGAGTGTGTTGTTTATGTGTGTACACGTTTCCTTGCATATAAACAATGAGGCGTATGTTATACTTTTGTTGTTTTTGGGCCAACATTTGTTTTGGACTACACCAAAAAAAAAACAATCATGCACTTCTTTTTATTTAATGCTTTCTTTTTACTTCTAAAATATGCACTTTAAAATATCACATTTTAAAGATGAATTAAGTAAAATGGAGAAATTCTTTCATGGAGCACATTTTATTTTTAGAAACAACCAATGGAAATATGACAAATCATTAATTCATTTTTATTCAAGTACAAATGGTGGATTTTCAATTTCAAGCATTTCATTAATCTTGTTAATGTTTTGTTCATCTTCCTTTAAAGAATATCATATTCTATTGAACAATTTTTTCTGCATTTATAGAATTCATTTTCATCCACCATAGCACCTGCCTTTTGAAATCTAACCAAAACCAAACACCATAGAATATCATGTCTCTAACCAAAACCAAACACAATAGAATATCATGTCTGCAACCAACACTTTTCCCCTAGTGTTCATGAACATTAATATTATATTTCTTATGAACATTAATATTATATTTCTTCTGGATATTGTTGGGGAAAGGGACTTGTGCAGATTTTTTCTTCCTTTCGCCACTCCATTTTCATGGTTTATGACATTTTAAATTGGAATGATAAATTTAATTTTGATCAAATTTGTGTTTTTCTTCCATACATTAATAAATTAAATATGGTCAGATTTCAATAAAGTTCATGTTCATGATTCCATCATGTTCTTATCGGTGGTGTTTGGTGTGTAGAGAGAAAAATAAAATAATATTTTTTAATTAATTAGTTTATTTTATTATTAAGAAGATTAAATATGTATGAGGTCTCTATAAATATGTTAACTTTTAAGTTTAGTCTTTCAAAAAATTGTTTTAAACAATGATCCTCATAAAGTTTTCCGTTCCAAAATGTAGCCCCTCCCATTAGTTTTCACTAACGGAGGCTTATGTGGTATGTCACCTGTGTTCTTTTTATGGTCACGTCAGTTTTGTTTTTAAATAATTTTCTTTTTATAATAAAATATAGACCCAAACGCAGTGAACACTAATCTCATTCTTCTTGTTATTTCACCGTGTCCATCCATTACATGAGTTCCCTTCCATTGTTCACTTTCAACTGATTTCATCGTTCTTCTTATTAGTCTCTCTCCTCCATCTCTGGCATATGTCATCTTCATCAAGGTTAAGGAAGTCCGTGTCATACTATTTCACGAGTGTGACAAATCATGGAGTGAAAAAGTGTGAATGCAATGGTCCAGTGATTTCATACATGTGCAAGGACGAACAAAATAAAGGTAGACTATTTTGGAGATGCCCGTAATGAAAAAACTATGACACTTGCAATTTATTCATTTGGGATGATGAAATTGTACAAGAAAAGGATGATGATCAATGTGTAGATGTAGAATGGAGAAAATATGAGAGTAAGGTGAGGGATATGCAAGCTGTAGAAACTTTGAAGGAGTTTTATGAATCATCAATGGAGAAGAACAAGAGGTTGAAAATGAAGATAAAAGCAGACGCATTTTGGGGAAAGCTGAAGATAATTTGTGTTGTAGTTTTATTCGTAGCCAACTTGTATTTGTTAATTATGTGTAATTGTTGAATTGATCTTTGTTTGTAATGTTGTCTAAGTGACTTTGTTTGTAATGTTGTGTTATTGGTTTTTTTTCTATAATGTTGTGTCATTGGTTTTGTAATGTTGAATTGGCATGAAATAGAAATTGGTGTAATTGTTTTTGTATTGTTCAATTGATATGGTATATGATTTGGTATTTTTTGTATTGTTTAGTTATGATCTTTAATATCACACAATGACCCTAAAAAATTTCACACAATCTGACCTATAAATTAGACATAGTGTAATGTATAATGTCGACATAATATGATGTGTAATTTTATAGACAAGGTGGCCTTAAAATTTAGACATAAAGTGACCTGTAATTTTGGCATAATATGAGCTATAATTTTGCCATTAAGTGATCTATAATTTTGGCATAATATGAGTTATAATTTTCACACAAAGTGATCTATAACTCAGACATCGAAATTCACACAAATTTTACTAGAATAGTATAATTACTTTGGCATAGCATAATTTGTTCAAAACAGTACATCAGTGCCATTACATTAACATACCATAATTTGTTCAAAATACTACATCAGTACATTACATTGAGCAAAACAGTACATCAGTTCCATTCTATTAGCATACCATAATTTATTCAAAAGACTACATCAGTACATTACATTTAGCAAAATAGTACATCAGTTACATGACATTACAACAAAATATTTGTTCATAAATAGGTACATTGAGCAAAATACTACATCTTCATTGGGTTAGACTCTTACCAGTTGTGTTGTCATCTTCAGTTAGAACCAATGGGTCATCAAGTTTCTTTCTAGGGCCAGGAATGTTCTTTGTTTTCAAGGTCCTCAGCCTTTCACTATGCCTTTTTTCTGCTGCAACATTAGTTTGTATCTTGTACCTGCTATGGATTTTAAACCTAAATGGTTCACTGAAACTTGGCCTTGAAAGATTTGTTCTAATACCAGGTGGTTTGAAAGGTTTGTTCTTGCACACTTTTGGTTGCTTACCAAAGAAAACCTTGACACCGCTTAGCCTTGGATCAGTTGCCTTAAGAGGTGATTTGTCAATCCTTAAAGGTTGAATGTCCAAGACATCATCACCCCTTAATAATGCATCTAGAGTTTCATCCAAACATGAAGAATGTGTAGGTTGGTCCTTGATAGTTGGCTCAGTTGGTTCAATTACCTTTTCCTCAGTGACATTTACTTCTTTGTCAATTGGATCAATTACCATTTCCTTAGTGAAATTTGCTTAATGGACAGTTGGCCCAATTACCATTGGGTCAGTTACATTTCCCTCCTTGATATTTGCATCAGTTACAATTAGCTCTGCTACATTTGCTTCCTTGACAATTGCTTTTCTTGACTTGACAGTTGTTTCCTCAGTGACAGTTGCTTCCTCAGCGACTGTTGTTTCATTGACAATTGTCTCCCCAGTGACAGTTCCTTCCTTGAAATTGGTTCCTCAATGTCAGTTGCTTCATTGACAATTGGTTCCTTGAAAGTTGGTTCCTTGACAGTTGTATCTTTGACAGTTGCATCTTTGGCTTTTCCCTCCTTGACTTTTGTCTTCTTTGTTCCACTCTTAGTTGTACAATTAATGATAGATCCCTTATGCCTCCCCTGCATGAAACAAGCACAACATTGACATTGTTACCTAGTCTTATAATTAATTACATACAAGCACAAAATTTAAGTTAAACATTACCCTTTTTTTTGTCGCCAAATTGACTTTGCTAGTCTGACTTGCTTGTGTAGGCATCTCTTGAGATACTTGTGTAGGTAAGTCTTGACTAACCTAGTGCCAAATTTACCCTATTTTTTTCTAAAATTGACAACAAACTTAACCTATTATAAAAATAATAATAATATGCAACAAATTAATAAAACGAGACCACTGAGAAAGCAACGAAGATGACATAGAAATAGAATAATAAAAGAGGGAACAAAGAAGAGACAAAGTACATTACCTGAGACCACTTGCTCGGCTTCTCACGAAGTTGTTTTTGGGACCACTACTACGAAGTCACTTTGGGACCACTGCAAACCAAAATTTCTTCTTTGAATAGAGCGAAGATTTGTTCCTTGTTCCTTGATCACAACACACCTCCAAGATAACAACTATGAAAACTTCTGCTAGGGCACACTATTGAAGTGAAATGTTTGTGCTATGTTTCATTTTCATCAGTTAAGAAGATTTCGTTATCAATAATTCCACTGTGGCAAATTGACATTTTACATATCACACGTAACTAAAGCAAATTTTACACTTGACATGCCACATAAGACTGTTAGTGGAAAATAACGGAAGGGACCAGATTTGAGGACAAAAAATTTTGTGGAGACTATTGTTTGAAGAAATTTTTTGAAAGGACTAAACTTGAAAGTTGACATATTTATAGGGACTAACAACATATTTAACCCTTATTAATAATTAGACACTTTTGTTTTTGTATTGGTTGTTTTTAAATTTAAAACGTTAAAGTATGTTTCACCTAAGAATTTCTCAATAAAATGTTATAATTTTTATGCTTAATAACTTGCTAACTAGTTTTTATCAATGAAAGAAAAACCTTTTTAATTATCTAAAATAAAATTTATGTAAGCAAGACATTATTTTAATTTTGTTAGGATACATCCATTTATTTTTTTTAAAATGATTTTAGCAAATTCTAATTAAAAAATGGTTAAATGCACCCTAGGTGCATGTTACTAAAACAGTCTTACTAAAAAATAAGTGAGTGTAAGCTAACATATTCTTTAAACATTTTCTATAATAAGGTTATTTATTTGTTAGAAGGAGTGTGTTAGCAATTACGTAGTAATAACTAAAATAAATAGTGGAGATCATATGTTAGTTTTTTTTTCTCTCTCTTCCATAATTTATTTTAATAATGGAAAAGAGAGAAAAATAAAAACTACACATAATCTCTACCATTTATTTTAAAATTTAATGATTTAGGTTCATTCTCATGTTCTCACA